TTTATTTTATAAATTATTTAAAGGGCATGTGATGACGCTGTTTCCATTTTTAGAAACACTTTAGAAAATTCAATGTCCTAATCACCTTCTTTTTAGATTACTTCATTATTTGTAATTTTTTTTTTTTTAAAGAAACAGAAAATTAAAAAAAAAGCCGACAACATCACCTTGTGTCTCAGCCAGGCATAGGGTCGAGACTTTTGCACTTTTAGACAAGCATCCCTCATGAAAGAGACGCTTTTCTTTCTTTGACTATTGGGCTTCCAATTGACTTTTGAGACTCCATTGACTCTTTGCACATAATCGGTCGCTCAACATTTGTCTACCCCTTCTCTGCAATTGAAACGTCAGTGTTAATTACTGGGTGGCATGAACTGACCTTTGTGGGAGCCATCTCAGGGGCATGCTGCTTCTGACAATGGTGTCTCACCTTCTACTTAGAGGTTAGAGTAGAGGTTCTCCTCCCCCTCTACTCCGCCCTGCTGAGACCCCACCTGGAGTACTCGGTCCAGTTCTGTGCTCCCCGGTGCAAGAAAGATGAGGAACTCCTAGAGAGAGTTCAGAGGAGAGCAACAAGGATGCTGAGGGGACTGGAGCATCTCCCCTATAAGGAAAGGCTGAGAGAGTTGGACTTGTTCAGCCTGAAGAAGAGAACACTGAGAGAGGATCTCATCAACACGTACAAATATCTTAAGGGTGGATGTCACGAGGATGGAGCCAGACTCTTTGCAGTGGTGCCCAGCGACAGGACAAGGGGCAATGGGCACAAACTGAAACAGAAGAGGTTTCAGTTGAATATGAGGAACTTCTTCACTTCGAGGGCGACAAAGCCCTGGAACAGGCTGCCCATGGGGTTGTGGAGTCTCCTTCTCTGGAGATATTCGAAGCCCGCCTGGACGATGTCCTGTGCAAGCTGCTCTAGGTCAACCTGCTTTAGCAAGAGGGTTGGACTACATGATCTCCCAAGGTCCCTTCCAACCTTTGCCATTCTGTGATTCTACTTCAGCCTTTCCAGTCCCTTCTGCCTGCAAAAGTAGTCTGGCCAAAAAACCAACTTGTCAGAACAAAGAGATTAATTTTCAGACTGAGCGGTTCCCTGGGTTGGTTCACCACATGGTGAAATGTTTGTGCTGACAGAACGGAGGATGTGGGAAGGCGTGGTTAGAGCTACGACAACTTCTCGCAGCAGCCAGAATTTAGTCTCCAAGGGAGAGTGAAACCAGAGCTTTTGAAAATACACTGGACTGAAAACAGAGCAGGAGATGAGGAGGCCCAAATGGCCACAAACGAGAGCTCTTCAACAACCTCTTTTACTGGTTGCTCTTCTGTCCTCGATACACAGCACGACACTTGCTGTGCTATCTCGGACGGGAGTCACAAAGATAAACCATCAGCAGCTTGTACGACTCTTTCGCTATAAAAATAATGCATGCAATGAGTACAGAGGAGCAGCTACATATGGGAGAATAAAACAAGAAAAGATTCCTGCCTTTTCTAGATTTTCCTGTATGTCTACGCTGACTCAGCCCTGACAGAAACATCTGCGTGCGCTTAACTTCACCCGTTCTGTAGATGTCACTAAAATACATTTCACAAGACGCCCTTTACTGCTGGAAGGATCCCTCAGGTGCAAATCGCTTCTTTTGTGGCAACAGCTTTGAAGGAGCTACACTTCGTAGCACTACGAACAGCTAAGCCGGATACGATGATAAAAATGCACGGTTTTTTTTAGTATAACTCTATCCACACAAAGCATTTCTGCCGGCATGGGCGCGCGTTTCGGAAACCACCACACTTAACAGCCAGGCCTGCGGGAACCTGTACCTTTTTGCACGATCTGGCCATCATCTTCTGACCAGCGACTGCATTACGCTGTGCACGGCGCTGAGCAAACAACGGATGATTATCCTTAAACCGTGCTCGTGGCAGGCCGTAGTACCAACAGAGAAAGTAGCAGTAACACTTGTGTGAGTGTTTCTGTGGGGTGTGAATAAACTCCTCAATAAAACTGTGCTGATACATCTCAGGGGGGTTGGACTGGATGAGCTCTAAGGGCCCCTTCCAACCCAAACCACTCTATGATTCTGTTCTATGATTCTGTGCTCTCTGGCCCTGATGGTTACAAAGCAGGAACGACTTAGTAATGCCACAGAATATCCGATATATCTAGGACCCCATAGCAGGCTTACAGTGGATGAAGTAGGATTTTTCTACGAAGTTCCCTTTTTTTACCTCTTCCTTGCTCCTCACCAAAAGCTTATGAACCCAATTTCACCTCGTCTGTTATTGGCAAGTCTCCCTGACAATGCACACCTGCTTCTGTACTTACCTCTGATACTTATAATCGAAAAACCAGTAATCTAATTTAAAAAAAAAAAAAAAAAAAATCAAATGCCGTTTTAAATAGAAAATACAATCTGGTTCCGTTCAAAGGAAAGAATTTTTTTTTTTCCAGGTACAGTAAAAGGTAAAGAATTCTGAATAATAATACAAATTCTAAACATAAAAATGCTGTATGAAAATTAGCAGGACTCTCAGTCCATTCAAAATATTTTAAAATAGGCTACACAGAGCAGGACCTTACAGACCCAGCTGAGCTATTTGATAGATTATATGGTCCTTTATTTTATCCTGCTAAGACTGGATGTTGCACTTGAATTTGTTTTAGGAATATGAATCCTATATTATTAACATAACAGCATACAATTACGCAATATAACTGCTTCCAGGCAAAATGCAAAATACTTATCACCAGCGATGAACAAGCTCCACAATGGGACCTGAAATACTTGAATGATCAAGTTACCCCTCTTGTGTCCAACTTTATAATTATATAATTACAGCTGGCAGGTTTTCCGGCTCACATTAAGTTATTGCAGAACATATTGTGTCACTTTAGAGCAGCTGGGAGCCTTGCGTTACAGAAACCTTATTGCTCACCTCCTGTAAAGACTATACCATCACAAAAAGGTTCACCCTCTTAATTAAAATGGTTTTGCAGTCTTCCTGCCTCCAGCTCTTTTAAGTTCCCGGGACAAGTACCGTCCACGTTCAGAATTTTTGCCACTTCCTGACTGTTTTGCCTACAGAAAAGAGATTTTACAAGGACAGCAGCAGGAAGTGCTTGAACTGCGACCAACCCGCTTAGCAACCTGCAGCAGGATCAGGGAGGCACTGCCAGGATGGGTGCTCAGAACCGAGCCTTGAGCAGCAATGTGCCAGAGCACCAATGTCCTATCTGCTGGCTATCGGCAAACAGCAGGCGTCAGATGGTTAAGAGAAAGCAGGGAATGTTAATCCAATGGAGAGCATTAGTCATGCTGGATGGCCATGGTACGTTCCGCCAACACATTCACGATACAGGTAACAATAAATCTTGGATCCTCTGGCTTCCCTTCATCCTCCCACCCTTCAGGAAACGCACGCCCCGTCACACTTCAAAAGGAATGAAAAGGAGCAGTGTTAGGCACCCAGATTAAGCAAATTCATGTTGCTTCAACACAAAAAACCCCAAACGGAGTTAAACAAAAAGAGAAAGTTTGTAAGTCTTACTCCACGAACTTCTGCTAACAGCACCTGTGCCATTATATGCTTCACCATCACTGAAGCGCTCATCATCAGAGTGTTTAAAGGCTGTACAACATATAAATCGGTTTGAGAAAAAGGAATCCCCTGTATTAATCCTGTAGAAGCAGAACGACATGCTAGGCTTGGTGGATTTAAAGATGATTTAAATGGTAGTTCCAAAGACTGGGAGAAAATTCCACATAAGGCTATAGGCAATTTAAAGGCCATTTATCACAATACTTACACAAGTAGTTGAATGTTTTTCAAAAAAACGTAACAAAAATATGCCTGAGAGAAAGAATTTCACCGATCGTGATGCAGCAGAAAATAATTTCTTTTGAATCACGCTCGTTAGCAAGCATTAAAAAAAAAAAAAAGGTTTTATCTGGAGCCTAAATGTCATATTTTCTCAAAAGTGTAACTCATTTATCGGCATAAATCCCATTTCAAAAAGCAATACAAGCAGCCCAGGAACATGAATGCCATTATATTCCAGTACCATTTAGAACCACAAGTGCCATTTGTGTTCTTTGTAAAAGAAAAAAACCCAACCCCATAACCTGTGTTCCTAAATCCCTCGGAATTTTTTTAAATCGGTCACTCACCAAATTATTTGCATGAAATAATAATATCAACCATAAACCACAGGTAAGATACTGTAATATTAATTAAGGCTGATCAAGAGTAAAAAAGAACTTGGAAAATCCTTGCAAATGGCTGTGTATTTATTGGATGCCACCGTGATTAAAATTTGTAAGAAGCCACGTGTGAGCTATTAGAAAGGGATGGTTTTAAGCCGTTTCCTTAATTCTCTGCTGTATAAACCCTCCAGAAGTTCACAGAAATTTCCTTGGGCCGCAGCTAAGCGGTACAACACATGCCCCCTGCGTGTATGTACAATCGCGTCTGAAACCAAAGCGCCCAACTTATGAGCATGTTGTGACTTTACGTCATGCCGTATGTATCCGAGATTCGTGCGTGCCAAAAGCTCCCTCGAGGGAACAGGGTCCTCACCTTCCACTTTATGCATCTTCTTACACAAATGTTTCCAATTAGGCAGAACTCCTAGATAGATGTATCTGAAATAGGTGGCACAGATCCAAAAAATTTACTGCTCAAATTCCTCTTTATGGGAGGGTCAAACCCAGCTTTGGGACAGCTCTACGTTTAAATTTTCAAGTCTGAGGTGGGGAAATGTTCTCATTTGTTGATTTGGTTCAGATAAGCTTTTTCTGAAAAAGATGTAGGGCTCCATGATTTTGGTTTGGGTCAACTTTTGGCCTCTTTATTCGAACGCCATAATGATTACATCATTCAAAAAAGGCCATTACATAGAACTTCACTTCAAGCACTGCAAAATGAAGATGTCCAAGTACTGAAGCAGCTACCTTGAGCCTGTATTACAGGTTACATACGTGATACGGAATAGGAACTTAGCAAAGCTGCTCACCTTCTTCATCTGAAACATCCAGGACCTCAGTCATTGTCTCGGGTACATTTAGCTTGTGCTTCTCTGTTACAGTCTGCAAAGACAGAAGCATCCATCGTCAAATTAAACACCAGAAGCAGCAGCAGAGGTTACAGTAGGATATTTTCAACAGCAACAGCCATGGGATCTGCCGAGGTATTTTATAACAAGTTTCCCCTTCCCCTAACTTTATTTTTCATCTTTATTCCAGAAGCTCCTATTCTTAGCGCTGTATAAGGTAACATTTATTCTGACTGAAAAAAAAGTAAAAAAAAAAAAAAAAAAAAGATAACGAGCTGGTCAGAGGAATAAAAGAAAAGAAAAGAAAGCTCTCAGCAAATTTATTTATAACCGGGGTGCATGTAGAACAATTCAGCTCAATGTTTCCAAGATGATTTTAAAATGAATTAGGTAATGTCTACAGAAGAGCTTCAGAAAGTTGTATGTGGCATATGGAAATTATTAAATCGTAAAGCATTTGGAAACGAAGTTATGAATGATGTGAAATTTTTAAATTCAAAGAAGATGTGAGGGATTTACACAAATCACTCGAAACATTTCTCCCCCCCCCGCCCAAAAGTGACTACACTGCATAGTAATGATATCTTTTTCATAAATCATGTATATTCCCCCAAATCACATATACATCAGGGGGAAAAAAAAAAGTTATTTGAAAATTCTGATCTATTTTGTGCACCTCGAACTGCTGGGGGGGCCCTGTTTAAGTGTGAGAGCACAGAGCAGGAGAAGGCTGGAAGGTTTTTTTTATCATTTTATCTTCATAAATGACTTCCAGAAGACGTTCAGGGGTGCTGAATTGCAAACAGGGACATCCTTTTAGCATCAAAATACACACTGGAGAAGGAGACGAAGAAGGTAATGAGAGAAACTGTAGGAAGCACAAGGTGTGAAAAAGGAAAACTGCAGGAAACCGCAGCGTGTTACGATACAGGAGACAAAATGCAAAATGCCAAGGACTTCAAAAAAAAAGAGCAGTGATCAGAACAGCGTTAGTCACTACAGAAAAGGAGATTTTTCCCTCGCTCCACCCAGATCTGCACCAGTCAGCTGAACTGGGGAGCCTGTTAGGGTACGTCGGAGGAGAGGTGTCCCATTGACATGGAGCGGGATGTCAGGAGGCCATGCGTCGTGCGCAACTCCCGCTGCGGCAGCGCTTCGCTCCCTATCGGGGATGCTATCAAGCATAAATCAACATCGCAGGAAGAAGTAGTGAAAGAGCGCGCAATCCGAGGGATACTTAATGTCAGCCAAATGCCGAGTCCCTTCTGCAGCATGTTTTTGGGAGAACGCCCGTTGATATCAAGCAGTGAAGTCACCAGCAGTTTTTCTTGCACAAAACTTCCTAGGTATTTCCCAATTCTGTTTTACACTTCTCGATTTCTAACAAACCAACATAGATAGCGCTCTTGATTATTACAAGATCCTGCACTTCTATAAATAACAATGTTACCCACAGCGTAATTACTTTGGAAATTTGTTTTGAAAGTCTGCTTTACATTTTTGAAATATATTTAACTGCGGCAGCTGTTTTCAGTTCACCCTCCTGAAGCGCAGGGAACGAACAACGTCCTTTGCTTCAAATGGCAATCCCAACCAGGCCTCCTAAATTCACGCTTACCCCTGATTCACGACAATTAATTATTTCTGTTGCAGTGGTTTTTCGTAACACATGTTCTCTGTTGAAAATGAGTTTATATTCACCAAATGCCTCCATCGATATGTTTGACTTCCCCGCCCCGAATTCCCAGGGCTTTCCTCGGATAGAAATGTCAGGCAGCAGTAAGGTGACAAAGCCAGCGATGACAGATGGGGAGGATGCTATCACTCAGGTGATGCCGACCTCATCTCTTCAACAACACGGCAGCAAGTTAACAGATATATCGTAAATTTAAAAAAAAAAAAAAAAAAAAAATCACTGACACTGGGCTAAAGAAATGAACCCAGGCGAAGGGGGCCGGGTAATTTCCAAGCGAAGCGGAAAGCGCTGCGAGTACCAACTCACTGGCACTGTAATTGCCGTTGCCGTTGGATCTATGCAGAGTGCACTGCAAATCCTCTGCTGCCCGTCCATATGTTCCCCACGGAAAAGAACTGAAAAGTCAGGAAAAAACCCAAAGGCAGGAGGAGGTGACCAAATTCTGAAGCAAGGGGAAAGAAGGGGCCTGCCTAGGAGTCACAAATGCTGCGTTCTGTATGCCTGCTGTATGACCAAAATTTAAGAAAACTTGGTTCCCAACCTTAGCTTATGTACAAAACCCATCTGGTTAGAAGGAGGCAGAAGTGAAAGGCTGCTACGATACTCCAGCCCACAAGCTACAGGCGTAGAGGTGCCCTGCATACTTTCTATCAACTTAGATCTGCACCCCCTAGTACCTAAGGCTTATTTGTCATGATTATCAATTTATTCATAAATACGGTTTTTACAGGCCCCCTGTATAATAACAATCTGCTCTCCGACTGAGGCTCTCAGACATTATTATTTATTTACAGAGAAGTAATGATACTTGATGTGCTTCCTGATTTTCCCTTCAGTCAGAGAAAATTATTACATAATTTAACAACCGAAACAAAGTTTGGAAAATGGAATCAAGGGAGAGCATGAACAAAAAATCTGTAATGCTACCTTTGGAACACTGAACTCGTCAAGGATCGTGAGTTCTACATCAATTCCCAACAGAAGTTGTGAATTAATGTTTTTAAATGAACTTTTAATACAATACTGGAATTTTTTTTTAATTGATAGGCACACTGGAAACGTCAAATACTTTCAAAACTTAAAATCCATATCTAGCCCCATAAAAGGCCCCCTTTGAAAATCTCTTAGGGCATATTTCTCAAAGTCCCTACTGTTCAGTGCCACTGAGAATTCAATTCTGTACTTTAGGCTTCTGTATTTAAGACTTTCATTGTAAGGCCCCATTTTCATCTGGTGGTATAGAATAATTCAGATATATAACTGAGGTATATAAACCTATATGTACATTCAGCGATTACTTACTCAACAGCCGTATACCGTAAGCAACCTCCAAACTCCTCATGTATTCATCTGTCCACAGGAAAGCTATGCCTGTTTGTAGAAGGACCCCAAAACTTAATTGCATAGCATACCTCCGGAGGTCTAGCATATTCCGATTTATTTCCTAACCGCCTCTAATCTGTGAGTGAAAATAAGTGCACTTTATTCTCTCTATTGCTTTACATCCGTGTGGTCCCACTAATAACAACACTAATGCAAGTAAGAGGGAAATTTGTTCAAAGTTAGACCAAAGGCTTTGGCACCGGAGATCTTTTCCTCATCCCAAATGCCAGTGACTTGAATATCAATAAAGCGTCGGCCGGTCTAACATCCTCCACGCATCGCTCGGCTACAACCTTAGAGAATGAAGTAGCTATGGTGACAGCACCTTTTTTTCAGCGCTAAACGCTGCGTTCTGGTTTGGCAACACCAACCTCACCATCTGGGGAACCTTAATGCAGGCGGTGCCTGTGAGTGCCTGCCATTTATCCCTCCTTTTTAGGACTTGTTCTAAATTATCTTTCATCAACAGTCCCCGCCACAAGCACCCCCACCAGAGGTTTATAGTCTGTATATCCCTAAGGTGCAAGATTCAGACAAGTTCATAGCTGAAAAATTGGCGGAGTTTATCAAGGGTTCCCACCTGACTTTTAAAAGTAGAGCTTTGTACACAGATGCAGCTCAAGATTTCAGATTTTTATGCAAGCATTAGAGCTCAACCATGCAAGTAAGGCTCGGTATTTGATTCAGTCCTAAACCCCAAGCATCTGGGACCTGGTAGAAAAATCCATTACCCTCAGAGCAGGCGTAAATGGAAAAAGTGTGCCAGGACACAGCACGGGGAACAGCAAAGGTGGCATCTGAAGCTAACAAATCCACTTCTCAAAAGGGCTGAACTTCCTTGAAAAATTTTACCTAGTTTTTATTTTTCTAACTCTCTGAATAGATACTCGTGGGGTTATGCACATCTGTGTGATGTGCTGTATGATTAAACAAGAACGCGAAATGAAATAAATAACAACGGAAACATACAGTCTTTATTAAGAGACTTCTGGAATTACGCTGGAATTCCTTGTCCAAACCTGACTCAGTCTGATCTTTGCAGGTCGTTAATAAATTATGGCTCGCTCTATTTGTAACTTTATGCCATGTTACTTCTATTCCATCTTCCTCCGTTAGTACCAGTGGGACTTGCTGTCAGTGTGCAACAAAATCAAAATTGTTTTCTCATTTCTTTACAACAGACTTTGGATTTCTTCCCTTCCTCTGATTGAGCAGTGGCATCTTTTAAGTAATCTGTGGGGTTTTATGGCTCTGAGCTCCTAAATGACATCTAGATCTGATAGGTTTTCTAGACTGCTAATCTTTCTTGCATTACAAAAAAAAAAAAAAAAAAAAAAAAAAAAAAAAAGGCATGACCTTACAGCAGCATTTCAAGATAAAATGCAGTAATGGAAATGTAAATTAAAATTAATTTCTTAAATGGTGCACTATTTCTATTGTTCTCCCTTCCTACCTGCTAAAATATTTGTAGATGGGAGGTAAAAGTCCAAGAAGATAAAACCTTCCCCTCGCAGAGCGTCAGAACATACTGGTTTCTCCTGGCTTAAAGCAACAGTACCACCCCGCTGATGTTGAGCACATACTGTCACAAACCCTGAAGTCAACATACAGACTGCCGAGAGCGTGGGGGACTGAGGGGACTGAGCACGGAAGGAAAGATTCTGTCATATTTTTGAAAAACAGGATCTATTTGAAGGGAAAGTGTCTCGAGTACGATGATGATTGATGTGATTCAGAGCCACCCAGCGAGCATCGTTAAGCTTGGCACCCCTCCAGGGCTGGTACAGTCCCAACGTTAAGCAGCTCGCTGTGGTGCGCTGCAATGGCTGAGCCTCAGTAGGTGTCAAAAGTGTGGAAATGTAAGGGCAAAACTGAAAAGGAGAGGTGGAAAGAGAAACGGAGAAAGAGGGCAGGATCTCAACAACAACACGCAAACTTCTGGAAAGTTTGAGTTTGTCTTGAGAAAAAAGTTTTACTCTGCTTTTGAATAGTTGTTTTCCGTCTGTACGCACAGAGATTTTGTTACCTAGCTCAGCAAAGCCTGTTGTGTTGCGCACGCTTAAAAGATACACTGAAAGCATTGTAGCACTTCTGCAAAAATCCAACAGAAAGGGGGGGAGACGACTAAACCAGAAAATAAAAAAGGGAGAGGGATACATGGGGAGTCTGAGGGAAGAAGAGAAAGACAACATTCTGAATAAAGAGAGACATTTTAATGCATCTGCAACTCACAGTTGTGGTGGTGGTAATCTCCTCCGTTACAACCTTCAGCGTATCGACCACTGAGATGTATCCCAGCCGCCTTGCAATAGCTAAGGCAGTGTTACCATTCTGAAGGGAAGAGAGAGAAGGGGAGAGAGGGAGCGCGATGAGAGGGAGGACTGTGATGCGAACCAATGAGATCACCCAACACTGCATGAGCCAGCATTTCCATCCAAAACAAGGCGCAGCCTAGGAAAATCACTGGTTTTTTTTACCGTTACATCTGACTCCGTCTTTGTAACTTCTTTAAGACTATAGCCCCGATTACCATGGCAACACAACACACTTACAACTGCCTGCTATTCTAAATAAAAAAGCGCTGTATGGTTTAACCCTTCGGTGCTCAAATTTCACTACGCAGAACGTGTCTTGTCTGCAGAAGTTCACATTTTCTTTTGCTTAAACGGCTCTATATCAGAAACACTCTTCTAAAAAAAAAAAGTATTTTAAAATGCTGCAGTTCCACTTCCAGTTGAAACTGTTGAGGTTTTATTGGGTACAATTCCCTCTTGGGGGAATACAAGATTACAGCTGTGTTGTCCATGTACACTTCCACTACTCCCTACAACAAAAATGTATGTCCAATAAAAGTGCACAAAAGCTGATGACTTAACAGACACAAAACCAACCTATATAAAGGCTTGGCGGTGGGGAATTAATTTCCATTTAAATAAATTTATTTGCAGTTTAAATGCCCATGATATTTAGCTGTGCCACTCATCAAAGGGACATTAAAGTGATAATTCAGCAAGTGTTTAGGTCATCACCTGGGACGTTGGCAGCCTGCGGTCCCCATGTCACTCGACTTGGGGAGAGGTGAAAGAGATGTGTGTCTTTGCAAAGAGCTCTACACAGAATCGTTCTGTGTTATTCTGCACTGAACCAACAGACAACACGCCGGCCTACGGGGGGAATCGTGGAAAGCCACCGTACCGCTCTTTGCACTGAAATAATTTCTCCTGTTGCACCCCTGCACACTGTGCGCAGGGTACCAGCCCGAGGGCTTCTCTCTACTTCAGTATTGGCTTTAGTTATCTATACTTTAAGTTCTTCTGTATCAGGCTAGCTCAGCAACCCTGAAGCAACACAGTGTTTGTGGATTAGCAGCTCGAAATGCATAGATTAGCATCTTCACAGCCCAAATAATTTGACTGTTACCATCACTTGCACATTAACTGCTCGCATCCTGCTCCCATAGCCCCCTGCCAGATGTCTTGGGTTGAAATTCTCTCTTACCTCAAAGCTAGAGGTTGCTAGGTGTGGACGAGAACAGATCTAGTACCTGAAACAGCATGCAAACTGTGCAGCAAAGACCCATCCCCGAGACCCTGCTTGGATTTGGGTTAGATTTGGGCATGACAGCCCCAACATGAGGACTGAAAGCAAGTACAGAGCCCTTCGGTTGAATTCACCCAATGGTACCCACAGCCCCAGGAGCTGGCTACAACGGTCTCTTGAGTGATGATCTGGTGCATAAACCAGTATTTTGGATAACTTCACAGAAGATTATTCAACACGATCGTTCCAGGACCAAACAGGGCGCCAGTGCTGATTTAAGCATGCACGCGGAAACCTGATCCGCTCTGGGGAATGACACGAGTTTTGGACACTCCGGCTGCATTTTCAAGATTGCCCAATTAGAGGTGACTAATAACAACAGCAACATGAAATAGGGCAGTTGCATTCCTGGCTGACTGTGGAGAAGGAGCTGTGCCAGAGGTTATTGACGGTCTTTGAGGAGGCATTAACATCAGTGAGAACCTGAAACAGATCCAGTGGACTGAGGGACAGAAATTTGGGGCTAAATCTTCAAAAAAGCCCAGGTTCCAATTTCCCCTTAATTTTTATGGAAAAGTCCTTATCGAGGTATCAATTTACAGACAGAGGAGCTGAGGCAAAGGGCAACTGAACAAGCACGGCACAGCTAGCTGTGGCCCGCCTGACCCTGCAGCTCAGAAATCAGTTTTCCCACCTCACGTTTAGCCAGTGAGTTAGATCTGATCTGCACTGCCTTAAGAGGATAAGGAAAAGAAGAGGAAGTTACATTTACACATCTGACAACCAGCTGTATGAGGAATACTTTCACCAAAACAAAGGCTTGCTCTTAAGCCCCGAGAAAGGAAAGAAAAGAACTGTCCAGGGAAACAAGTTCCCGCTGGCACTTCACAGACTTACGGTGGTGGTGGCGTTGGGCTTGGCCCCATGTTGGAGAAGAACGTTAATGATGTGAGTGTGGCCTTGTTGAGCAGCTTGGTGAAGAGGGGTGTAGCCGTTCTGTTGTCCACGGCGATTACGATAAAAGCAAACAAACACAGAACAACAAGCACCAGTAATTAGATTAGACGCTTTCGCTTTGCTTCCTTCTGCTCCTTTTGGGACATTTCAAAAAGAAAGCAGGCCATCAACCCAAAGGTAATAAATCTTCAGTAATACTCCTTCCCCGGATTAATGAAAAGACAAAGGAAGATAATATTTTTATTCACAAATTGTCTTTCATCTCACCAACATAAGCAATCTCTGGGAAGATAGATAATTCCTCGCTTCCTAAATCAGAGGGAGGAACAAGGAGGAGCAGTACAGTGGCATGCTAAGGATATAAAGTCAGAGCTGAGGCAGAGAATATTTTTCTTCCTCTCACATATTTGTTTCCTATAGAAGCCCCAAGATTTGCCTTTAAAATATTTGAGCCAATTTTAATCTAATTTTTTAACAGCAGTGATTTGAAACTATTTGCTTTTAAAAAGGCTATAACCTATTACAAACGTCAATCAATTTTAGCTTTACTTTGCCTTCAAAAGGCTTGACCAAGCTATAATTAACTTAAAAACACGTACACAACGTCTGTATTAATAAACACGCTTAACTCCATATACTTCTCTGCTCCACTGATTCACTCTGATGTTACACATTGCAGAAATATAACCAAAGTGCACTTCAGCTAGTTGATCTGGGATAGTATTGTGTAAGGCCACTCAGGCAATTAATTTATAAAATTATTTGCAATTGGCTTTGAAAGCAAGCAGAGAATAAACTGGAAGAAAACAGCAAGTTGATCTCACTGTGCACTTATGTAAAGACTGGGGGCAGGCTCCGAAAGACACACTGGGAGAGCTCCCTCTTTTGCAAACAAATAGATGCAAATAATGCTTTGAACTACTAATTAAATAGTGACAGGTCAGAACTGTTACAGTTCTTATATTTACAGTATGTGGGCACGGACTACTAAGAAATCAAAGGAGGACTTTACTGTAGGTTGTAGTGCAATGTAAATTCAATATCTTTACTTCAATATTAGTGCAGTCCTTCAAAAAGAGAATTCAGCCATATTATTTTTTCCCTGGAGACGGCACAAAGCATCGTGCAGTCTTAATCAAAGGAGGACTTTACTGTAGGTTGTAGTGCAATGTAAATTCAATATCTTTACTTCAATATTAGTGCAGTCCTTCAAAAAGAGAATTCAGCCATATTATTTTTTCCCTGGAGACGGCACAAAGCATCATGCAGTCTTTATCTAGTTAAAAGACCAAGCTGCAATAGAGGTTACTTATTCTTTAACATGCTCGTCCTGCATCCAGCCAGGATGGATTTGCTCTTTAGACCGAGTCCATGGTACCAGCTCACAGATTGCCAGTATTTTCATTGGTCCCTAGGTGTGAGATTCTGGAGAACCACTGCCCCATACTCTCATACAAACTTCCTGACTTTAATGAAATCATTCTAAATAAGCTAAATACCTGGGGAAATGGTGCCAGAATCTGGCCCAGTGGCTCCTCAGACATAGAGTGAGACCTAATACTAAAGAAGCAAGTCAACCTTTAGTTAGCCTGCAAATACCTCAGCTAAGTGCCTTGGCACCTATCATTTGGATCCTGCTGGTGTCTGCATCATTAATTCTTATCAGCTGTTTTTTCTAGTGGTGTTGCCTGTTCTTTTGGAATCCCTGGGTTTTGCCCATTGGTTTTGGGTGATCTCAGGAGGGACGGGCCAGCACCTTTTCTTTATTTACTTTGCTGTTTCTTACCACATTGAGCTGTGACCACTGTGATGAAATACTGCTTCTTCACTGAGAAATGAATCCATCCCATAGGTCGCAGCTGGGGACAGAGGAGCTGGCCAGAGGGACCAGCAGACCACAAGCCTGATTTTGACTAGATCTTACAAACACTAAGTATGTCACTAGAAGTATCAATGGACTTCTTCACGTTGATCCCAAGACATCCCGCCTGAAGCTAGCGGCTAGCTATTGCCCGAAACCAGCTTTAAGCTGAAACCCTGCAGCTCCTTTCCAGTAAGGGTGATGTGATGCAACACACTGTTGCTGTCACCCAAACCTCTCTCCGTGCATACTGAGGAGAGACACAATTGTTGCTACAAAAGGCGTCACATTCAGCTGTTGTGCCCACCCGTTTATACTAGAAGAAACTGCTGAAGTCAGTGGATTCTGTTCAGACTTTGGCTGTAGGCAGTCAGGCCCGTTTCAGTGGGCCCACACCAGTAACAGCGTACCCAGATTCCCCTCAAAAAAACCCCAAACCTGTCTTCAAGTAAACTGCGTTC